TATAGCATAACATTTTACTGGCAGCATGCAGGGACTCTCAAAAACTACTATTATTTTGCTGTGAAGATTTTTAAAATTATCTAATTCCCAAAAAAATTACTTGCAGAACACCTGTTTGGTGTCACCAGAGTTTGATGTGAAACATTTAAAATTATCACAACTAGCATTATTGCCTTTTATCAAAATCTTTTATTTACAGTCACCGTTTTTAAAATTTAACCTGAAAAAAAATTTTCATAAAAATTGATGAAAACATGTACATGTCGCTAATAAGAAATAGTGGTTACAGTATGAAATATTTTTATATTTACATTAAAGCGGGGGAATCGTTCCTGCGCAGGCGTCAGTTGGTCATTCTTTACAAACAATCTTCTACCCATGAGCCTTTGCATTTTTAGCGCGTGTTGTTATCGTCGCTTGGGACTCAATTCTCGCGTGTGCACAGGTGACAACTCTCTCGCTTTAAGTTTTACAATTATTTTCAATCAGCCAGTGTCAAACGTTGTTAATTTGTAATGCATGTTGTTGGTAGACCATCAGTATTTATGTGATGTCATACCTTAATTTATTCGCAATGAAATAAACAGATCTATTTGTTTTGGTGCCACCCAATCCTTACATTGTATGTCGTAACAGACAATCATTCTTGTGTTTTTTGCGTTTTGAATCGCAGTGTTCTGACTGGTCATAATCACTATGTAATGTGCGCTAACTTTCATCCTGCTGAAGATCTGGTTGTATCGGCATCGCTAGATCAAACCGTACGAGTTTGGGATATTTCAGGTAATCATGTTGCAATGGAGTGATTCCGTTGAAGTGTCTTGTTAAAGTTATTATTTTTACCTGACTTTCTCGTGTTAGTCTTTGAAATCAATACATGTCATGTAACATGGTGTGTGTTTGTAATAATAGTATACGATAAATGAAAAATTTGTTCTAACTAAAAAAAAAGTCCTAGGTGGTTTTTCCACATATGCATAGATTGAACATCATAACATTTGACCACATGAGTGTTCATTTCATACCACAAACGTAATTTTGGATCAGTATTAGGCCATTCAATCATAATTTCTGTTTTAAAATTGTGAAAATAAAAAAAAATAAAAACTGAAAAAAAAGACAATTTATTTTCAACATTATGAGACCCAGAAACAAATCTTTTTCATTTAAAACCTTGCATGGAAAATAAGAAATATAAAATAACTCAGTTCATGGTTTTTTAAATTTTGATACATTTATCTGATATAGAGCATACAATTGCTAAAATAATACATGTGCACTGTGTTTGTGTTTTGATTAACAAATGTAGAAAATATACCCATTTTAATCTGCTGCTTACTGTAAAATACTTTATTTTACCTGGACTTTTTGGGTGTTTTGTATGGAATTTATTTTTACCCATATTTGGCAAATTGAATATAAAATATAGGAAAAAAAGTATATTCGCTGGATTTTATTTTTCAAAGAATTATTCCTTCAGCAAAAATAGCGAAAATTAATTCCCAGGGAAAATAAAGCATTTTACAGTATGTCTGAAAACATGTCTGTAAACATTGATAACCAATAGTCTGTAGTATTAGCTATAATGTCCAGTTATACAAATTGCAGACATAGACACTAATCAGATTTTTTAATTTTCCCAAGGGTTGAGAAAGAAGAATGTAGCGCCAGGTCCAGGCGGATTAGATGATCATCTCAAGACGCCAGGGCAGATGGATTTGTTTGGCTCCTCGGATGCTGTGGTCAAACACGTACTGGAAGTAAGTTTTGATTCATTCCAGGAGGAAATATTTATACTTTTATGTTCCAGTCTTTTATTTGTATGTACTAATATGATGTCGCTTTGTGTAGGGTCATGACAGAGGTGTTAATTGGGTGTCATTCCATCCCACGATGCCGTTGATCGTATCCGGTGCTGATGATAGATACATTAAACTATGGAGAATGAACGGTAAGTTGGTAACAGTTGAATTCATATCGGTGATCATTCTCTGCTCAAGTCACTGAATTTTAATTTTTTTTATGTATTTCAGATCTAAATTATTAAATGTATGAACAAATTTAAATTCTAAGCAAAAGATAACAAAAAACGTTTATGCTGGTGCATCAACAAATTTGGCAGGGAAAAAAAGTATCTAAGTTATAAGTGTTTTTGTAGGAGTCAAAATAGAATCTTCTCGTAAAATCGAGTTGAGTCAGTCAAAATGGACTCTTCCCCTAAAATGAAGTTGTGTCAGTATGTTGAAGTCTTTAAGAAAACATTAAATTGTATGGAGTGTAGATGACTTGATGCATAAACAAAAATGTTGCGGCCTTTGATTTTCTTCGTTTTTTCACTTGAATGAATTTCATTTTACCAAATTACCAACTATAATCAAAATCACTATAAAAATGTAGGTTTTGTTGGTGTTGCACCAGTCAGTGAATAAGCACAACTAGTTTCATCATGGTAGATCTCTGAGCATCAATGACCTATTATAGCGACTTCGAGTCCACACTGATAGGTTGTACAAAACATAACAATTTGAGTAACGATTCTGATAAGTTTATGAAGCAGTCACAAGCGCAAATGCATCACTATGTAGCAACCTACGTGATGCGAATAATACATGTTGTTAATTTCATTTTGTCCATAGACGCTAAGGCTTGGGAGGTGGACACATGCCGTGGTCATTACAACAATGTATCTTGTGTTATATTTCATCCGAGACAAGAATTGATCATCAGTAACTCAGAGGATAAGAGCATTAGAGTCTGGGATATGTCCAAACGGTAAGAATCACAGCGTTGTGTGGAGATTTGTTTTATTCTAATACAGTCAAACCTGTGTATAGTGACTATCCAGGGGACTTCATTAAAATGGTCTTTATAGACAGGTGGTCTTTATATGGAGATTGAATTATGTTTCCCCAAGTCATTAATTTGACATATTTGTCCAGAAAATAATGAGATGGTACAGTTTGCTAAAAAACACATTATTTGAGTTGATGAAAATCAAATAAGTTTGACTCTTGACACTGAAAAATTGTTTAATAAATTGGTCTCTAAACAAGGCAAATCGGCGAAAATATTGAACATAAGAATAGGTGGTCTTTATTTATACACAGGTTGTCGTTTTAGAGTGTATTGTATCCCCATGTGGGGGGAGGGTTGGGTGTGACATGAACAAAATTTGCATAGTAGGGTATGGGTACGGTTACACAGCATGTTTGTTAAAATATGTTTCTTATTGTAACTTTGATGGCACTTGTATATTTCAGGACTGGTATCCACACATTCCGTCGTGAACACGATAGATTCTGGATCATTACGGGCCACCCTACTTTGAATTTATTTGCAGCTGGTAAGTCAACAGATAAATTCTATGAATTCAACGAGAAATTGACTTTAAAATATTCTAAAGATATTACATGATTTTTTATGGGTTTTATTCTGAAACGTTTACAGGGCACGACAGTGGTATGATTATATTTAAATTGGAACGTGAACGCCCGGCCCATGCTGTGCACGGCAATCTGTTGTACTATGTGAAAGATCGTTATTTGCGTAAACTGGATTTCACCACTTCTAAGGACGTTCCTGTCATGCAGCTGAGAGGGGGTACGAAGACGGCCCCGTACAGCATGTCGTACAACCCCGCTGAGAACTCAGTGCTTCTTTGTAATGTAAGTATTGCTGTTGTTTTTTATCGCTCCTGTCTTCATATTTGATTTCACACACAGCACGGGATCTCGCAGTGAACGAATAATGGTCTATTTACTCACAAATCTAGATAATGTGTATAGTATATAATAATAATTCTTTACATTTCTTAGAGAGCCAGTAACATAGACAACAGTACCTATGACTTGTACAGTATTCCTAAAGACTCTGACTCGCAGAATCCTGATGGTATGTTAGTTATTCTTCATTATATTCCAACCGAAAAGTTGTATCAAGGTCTCGTGTTTCATTTCTGATTATCTAACATTGTTTTATTTCAGCCCCCGAAGGTAAGAGGTCATCGGGACTGACCAGTGTGTGGGTTGCCAGAAATCGATTTGCAGTATTAGATCGAACACACACGGTGAGTTTTTAATACAACTTGGTATGCTACATATATGTGTAATGCCACTGGTAGGGTTCTCAACAGACAGGAAACAATTACTCCATGGTTTTTATTTTTTGAACCAGGTTTTGACTCTCATGGGATGAATTGTCTCATAAAAATATATAAAAAATACAAGTGACATTTTATAAGTGTAGAATAAAATTCAAACATAATTAACAATCAAGTAGATTGTCTCCACTACAAGGCAAACAAAGTACTGAATTCAGGGCTCATACCACTAATTGAAACTCTGTAGACGACAATGTTAACATATGACGAGATTGCTATATGAAAATGACGAACAAAGTTGAAAACATGGCTCAAAAATGAGAAATCAACATGCCAGTAATCAACCACATGAAAAAACATAACATGTTGGCCAGCTCAAACTCTTACAAATCTCAGGTAAACAAGACACACCTACTGTATTTGGATTGCACCTAGAGAAATCACTGGAAAAACACCAAGATTAGAACATCCAAATACACACAGAATAAACCCACAGGTACACAGCCGCTAAGTAGTAATCAAAAGACCACACGTTGGTCTCATCTTTGATCACGCCCCCAAACGGGGAGCACCTGAGAAAACAACTATTTAAAAAATTTCATTGGTTCTTGCAAGACATTTAAATTGGCTACGAATAGCCATTGGTTGATTAGTGGCATGAGACCTTCATACAAAATATTTCTGCCTGTAGTTCCAGATGGATGGGTAATTAATTGTCCTGTACTTTCTAAACTGGTTGAACAACTCCATCCCCCATATTTAATTTCTGGTGAAAACACTTCCCATTTCAGTTGCTGATTTAAAAATATGTGCTTACTAACAAAAAAAACTACTAGTTTCTCCAAGTCAATCGATATATCGTTTCTCAATTCAGTTGCTGATTAAAAACATGAAAAACGAAATCACCAAGAAGATCCAAGCAGCGTCATGTGACGAGATTTTCTACGCTGGTACCGGTACGCTGCTCCTTAGGGAGAGTGACTCTGTCACTCTTTTTGATGTACAGCAGAAGAGAAATCTGGGATCTGTCAAAATATCCAAGGTCAAATATGTCATCTGGTCACCTGATATGTCACATGTTGCTTTGATCAGCAAGCACAGTGAGTATGCGTTATCAACTTTTGATCAACTGAATTTATTATCCAGAATTTTGGTCAAATTCCATACTCTAATGTGAATGTCGCTAATCACGATTTTTGTTTAATAGCTTACATATAGCACAAAATAAAACGTGTCTGATGGCAAAACAAGTCTAAAAAAAATTTAAATCAAAATTTTTTTTTTTTTTTTGAAGTGCATGTTGTTGTTGGTCTATTGATGCAGTACATCCTGGCATTTGTTTGCATCATTTTCTACTCAGTTTTTTCTTGGTTTTTGAACATTTATGTCAACTTCATGTATTTGTTTGTAAAAAAAAAAATTGAGAATTTGTCATTGATAGTGCATATGTCTCGCCTTCCCCTTCCCCCACCCCCTTGTACAAGATTGTGTGCACGAAAAACATTCAACAGTCACACACATGGAGATGACTTCATATGGTATCCCTTTCTACCAAGAATCATAGGAATGTTGACTTGATTTATTATTATTAATGCTGAATTAATTATTTTATGTTTTTATTACTTTTTTTTCAGTAATTTCTGTTTGTAATCGTAAACTTGAAAACCTGTGCACAGTTCATGAAAACATCCGTATTAAAAGTGGTGCTTGGGACGACAGCGGTGTCTTTATATACACGACTAGTAATCATATTAAGTACGCTATAACTAATGGGTAAGTGTTTACCACCCAGCATTCTGCCCAGCCTGACTTGAGTGTCGAACACTGATCCCTGATACTACCCGATTTCTTTGTTTTGTTAAGACCTTCAAACAATAGATCGTTTTCATCGCCTTGCGAGATCTTGCATGATTCAGCGAATGAGCGTGTTACTTATCATATTCTACATTCTTAAAAAGTACACGTATTGCAGAGTGCTTAAAAGAGTATATTGTTACACTTTCAAATTTAAAAATGTTATATATTGACATGAAAATGATTCTTAACATCTCTGCCTACACAATACAATTAAATTGTTGATTCCATTTAAATCTACAAAGCTGTCATAACTGTATGTGTGTGGGGGATGCTCACAGCAACATGAATGTTTTCATAGCATCCAGTTTTGGTGCTCAAACTAGTAAATACAAAAAAAAAATCATACATCGGGTTTGGTCACAGTTCTGATGTTTCTGTGATGATTAAGTACTGTAAATTATGAAATTCTTTAGCAGTGATTTCTTCTCTGAGGTCCTACTACATAGATTGTCAGCAACTTTCAAATAATTTTGTCATAAAATCCTGAAATTATAAAAATTTCTATCAGTGATACAGTAATTTATTACTTGACAACAATATTGCAAGCGAGTCAAAGTATTTATGCAAGACATGATTTGATTGGATGAGAGAACCTGTCAACAAACAAGGTGCTTTCTGATTGGCTTGACTATTTAAGTGTTGGGGCTGTGTAGCCAATCAGGTTCAGTCTTGTAAGTAGCTTCATATTGACTCAGAATCTGCACATGTACAGCTCTGTTGAATGTCCTTTCAACTTTTAAAATTTTGGAAATATCTGTCTTGACTTTCAATTTTTTTTTTTCCCCTTCAGGGATCACGGTATCATTCGCACGCTAGACTTACCAATCTACATCACACGAGTCAAGGGACAGAGCGTCTACTGCTTGGATCGGGAATGCCGCCCTCGCGTGTTAGGTATTGACCCAACTGAATTCCGCTTTAAGTTGGCACTGATCAACCGCAAATATGATGAAGTCTTGCATATGGTACGCAATGCGAAATTGGTCGGACAATCGATTATCGCATACTTGCAGAAGAAAGGTTATCCTGAGGTGGCTTTGCATTTCGTTAAGGATGAGAAGACGAGATTTGCTCTGGCTTTAGAATGCGGCAACATTGAGGTACATGTTTGTTTTGTTTTTGTAACACTGAATGTGTCCCATTCAGTATACACTTTTTAAACCCTCACATGTGACTCTACCTCTATAGCAGAATAGTCATGTTCATTAACTACTTCTGCTTACTTTTTCTTTGCTTTATAATTGAATTGTTGATTTTGGCCATAGTTGGTGTACTTTTATTGATTCAAAATGTCTATAAAAAGGGTCAGTGATTTTGGCTAACACATAACATGACCACTGAAAAATACTGTTTCAGTCCTAATTAATCTTTACTTCCTTGTCTGCAGGTTGCCTTGGAAGCTGCCAGGGCTCTGGATGACAAGAACTGTTGGGAGAAACTTGGTGAAGTAGCTTTACTGCAGGGCAACCACCAGATTGTAGAAATGGCGTACCAGAGAACAAAGAATTTTGACAAGTTATCATTCTTGTATCTGATAACCGGCAATCTTGAAAAATTGAAGAAAATGATGAAAATTGGTATGTTGTTAACAAAACTAGGTTTGGTAAAGGAAATATTAAGGAATGTAAGGAATCGAGGCATTCAGGACTTGAATTGAGGCTTGACTTTCTGTTCAGACCACCAAACAAAGTTTAATTAATTTAAAACCGAATTGACAGCAAAGTATAAAACTTCTTATTATCATTTGATTTTATTCTGCTGTTCAAGAAACCTAGATACGAATATTTGCTCACCAAACTGTTTTTGTGCACAAAATCCATGAAAATGGTGATTTTTTGAAGCTTTTTACATATCATATTTGCATATTTTGTTAGGTTACATATCAGGGTTTTTTCTAAACCGAGGAACAGGGGCACAACGTCCTGATACCTCAACTGACACCCTCTTATCGAATTGCTGATTGAACTTTCAAGTCATAAATATATTTTTTTGAGCTGCGCACTTCCGTGCTGCCGTACAACACAAAATCTTTCTCAAATATATTTTTCCCCCGCGAAAACTTCCCAGCAACACCAGCTGACAATGTGTCTGGACAACAAATACACTAAAATTACTCCAAAAATATTTCAATGGCGATAGATACATCGTTAAAACAGTGCAGAAACCTTCTGATATGGCATTTCCAGGTTGATCGCCTGTGTGTTCATCTCTCTTGTTCATTTTTTCTAAAAAAACTCCTGCATATAGTGACAAAATTAACGTTATTATAAAATGAATATTTATGATTGTCAAAAATAAACAGGATATTCAGATGATAACTGTTCATTTTTAATAAAATTATGCTTTCTTTTTATACCATATTCTTGCGTAGATTTTCTCCAAATAAATATTTATTGCTGAGAAAAAAAAATATATGATTATGGAACACTTTTTAAAAGCAAAAAAAAATAAATTTTGGTACATTTTTTTGTCCCTATTTATTAGGTTGAATACCTGTCGCCTACCATAATACAAGTTTAGAAAAAAGAAAAATCGTGTACTACTGTAAAATACTTTGTGTCTTGGAATTCATTTTTGCTATTTTCACTGGAGGGATGACTAAGTGAAAATAAAATCCAGCGAATATACCATTTCCCCTTTACTTTACATTCAACTCATCACAAATTAGTGAAAATAAATTCCATACAAAACACTTAGTCTTTTCAGCGAAAATTAATTCCAGCTAAAATAAAGTATTTTACAGTATTTACTGAATCCCAATTGAGTTACTTAGAATTATTATTTCTTAATTACTATATTTGTGATAGAGTCAATTTTCATTTATTCCTGTAGCTGAGATTCGTAAAGACACAGGTGGTCAATATCAGAACGCACTGTACCTTGGTGACGTGTCCGAGAGAGTCAGAATACTAAAAGGTTGTGGACAAAGTAAGTATTTATTTATATGGTGTACAAGTTTGTGCAAGAAAGTGCAGAGAACCTGCCACTGATTAGTATAGTCGCCAGTATAACTGATACAATCAATGGGTTTGCCAACTAATTCTGAAATATTTGAGCACTGAAGCTAGCTCGCATCCAACCAAACATGATTTTCATTTTTGTACTCTCTCAAGGTCTCTTTAGTTTATTTTTGGAAGTTCTTCTAAAATTAGTTTTCAGGATTCTGTTTGATTTTTTTTCATAACTTGTACAAAATCCTAAGCCATTAACAATGCCTATTGTAGTCAGTAAAAGGTGTTCTGCGGATCATACAGAAAAGTGGAAATGTTATTTTAAAGCTTAATATTAATCTTTTCACCACCAGACTCTCTCACCCAGATTTGTTTGCACTTTATTCTTATATTCTTCAATATTTCTGAGAATGAATCTAATTTTGGAGATAACAGACAAAATCTTGAGTCAATTTTCAGTTTTTACTAAAAAAAAAGTTGGAAGTTTTTGTCCCAATCTTCTGAAATACGGTAAAGTGCAGACTATAAACGAGACTATTTTGGGAATTTTAAATGAAAACAGGAAACTGGTGGTGAAAAGGTTAAAAAAGCAATTTGTGAACATTTTGAGATATAGTGTTGTACTGTAAATGGGGTAATTATTCAATGGGTTTTAATTTAGCTTATTTCGCTGACTGGAAAAATGCGCTAAATTAAAACACAGTGAATATGTAAAATTTAGCATAGAACACATTATTTAAATGACGAAACCGTGAATTTAAAACCCACTGAATATGCCCGAAATGGTAAATCAGTGAAATTTAAACCCAGTGAAAATTAGTCATTTTACAGTATTTACGAGAGATCTCAGCTTTGCAACTTGTCAACTGTACATAACCATGAAATAGGGTTGTCATGAAAATAATAAATCTTTACCATACAGAAATTCATTGATGTGAATGTGATGTATGGCAAATAAAGATAATGTCGCAACAGATTTTGTCATTTCTTCGGAACTAGAAGCTGTACTGTTAAAGACACATATGTGCAATCCTAATTGTCAAGTACAGGATGAGATTTCGACTGCAGCTCATTGTAGCTGGCAATAACATGATGTGGTCTTGTTCATTTCAGAGGCATTGGCATACCTAACTGCAGCTACTCATGGTCTTGACGAAGAAGCTGCACACCTGCAAGAAATGTTTGATCCTGAGAAAGAAAGGGTAAGATAATGATACTTACAGCCAATGAAAACAGTTCAGAGGTTTCTAAGCCAGAAGTTGATTGGCCAAAAAAACTAAATAACCAAAGCATGTACCGTA